TCCTTCTCCTCCTCCTCCTCCTCGCTCGGGCGGCCCAGCCCGGCCCACGGGTTCACGCGGCGAAAGCCACCTTGGCGCGGGGAACGGGGAGCGTCAGCCGCTCGCGGGGCGTCTGCCAAGGACAACGAATTCCTTGGGAAGGAGCAAATCAGAATCAGCCCAAGGGAAGGGAGGCACGAGACTGGAGAGGTCACCCCTGTGCACCGAGTCTCCTCATGGTTCCCCCTCCATCCTGACCCATGAGAAGACCCCAATGTCCTGCCGTGGGTCTGGGCTCCTCGGGCTCGTCCGCGTCTGCCGGTCGCTGTCGCTCGGAAAGTGAAATCTGAATAGTGAGGTTATGGAAAACTTTATATGTATGGAAGCAGCCGTGGAGCTCATGCTCCTCTAGATCTTTTCCTCCTCGTTCCGGGTTCTTCTCTTGCAGGAGGTGGGTTTGTTGGGGTCTGGGAAGTGAAGTGCCTCTGGGAAGGGGCCGTGTTTTCCTTGCTGTGTGCAGGGAGGAATGGAAGCCGGGCCCTTCCCCCAGCCCAGCCCAGCTTACAGGAATTTTGCAGCTGTAATTCCTGACTTGTGCAGCTCCAAACATGCCTCCATCCCCCATGGTTGGTGCTGGGGGGGTCTTGGTGCCTGCAGCTCCCTCCCAGCCCGTGTTCTGGGGGATGATGAGGATCTGTGACTGAAGGGGAAGGGCAGAGGGGTGACAAGGGCACCAGTCGCGACTGCCACGGCTCAGGGTCACGGGGAGGCGGAGGAAGGAGGGGGAATAACAACAGCCTTGAGGAAGTGGGTTCAACAGCTGGAAAACAAGAAAAATGAGGAGTGTGAAGCCCAGGAGAAAATACACTTCAGCTGAGCAGCTTTCTGTCCACAGACCTTGGAGCCGTGACAGGTTTTAAAAGCTGGAATCTTGAGCTTTAATAGATGCTGAAAAAAATGCTGACTTAGGAGAGAGCCACAGCATGACCCGCTTGCCTTTCACCTTCTCCCTTTCCCAGTTGCAGCCCAGCAGGGAGCAGGGACAGAGCAGCTCGTAGTGGCCCTGGCTCTGCCCTCTCTGTGCCACAGTCAGTGAGTGACACTACAGAGGATGCTGTCACCAGGTGAACGTGGCCTCATGGACCCACAGTGCTGATCTCAGCATCCTCGTGTCGTGGTGGAAGAGAGCAGAAGAATTCCTGCCCAACCCTCTTGCATCCACTACCTGCTTCCCTTTACCTGTCACAGGTGTGCAGAGCAGACCGAGATGAGATTTAACCAGTTTTTCCCCCATCAGGCAGCTTATTCTCATAGTTCCTGATCGCCCACGTGGTCTTCAAGGCCACCATCATGGGTGTTGTGTCCGGGCTTTGCAGAAACCAACCTGGCAGGTGGAACCAGATGTAACTGGGAGACCAGCCCGAGACCTCACTGATGGTCTTTGACCATTTTTAACTGTAAATAAACAGTTAAAAATAATAACATTTAAAATATGGAACTCTAAATGGTGATTTAAAGACGCGTGATTAATCCTCCCAGCATTTCTGTCTAGTAGGGAAAAATCTTTAACTTATTTAGGTGAATTCTTGAGGCAGGAATCATCTCTCTGATTTCTTCTTTACTACACTTTTGTAGTCTCTGGCCTGCAGTGGGTGTTATTCCAGGTCCCCACAGCACAAATAACATTAACTGCATAGAAAAGATGGGAAAACAGAAGTAGAAATAAGTCTCAGACTGTCCTGGGGACACGAGGTGAAGGGGAGCATGGCAGACCTGAGGAGGCACCGGGGTCTCCTGCCCTGCACCCTAACCAGTAGTTTTTGCTAATTAAAACATGTAAGAGCAGAGTGAGGGAAGGGTTAATGATGTTATTCCAAGTTTTTCCTTACTGGGATGAGGACCACACATGTGCCACAAGGCTGTTGCCACCTTTGCAAAGAGCACCATCCTCCCTGTCATCTTTCCAGCAGCTCAGGAGCATCCCTCCTGCCTTTCTCTGGCGTACTCCAGGACCGTCCGCTGCTGCATGACTCATAGCTGAATCATTTGGTTGGAAAAGACCTTTGAGATCATCGAGTCCAACTGTACCTGTCCACTACTAAACCAGATCTCTAAGCACCCCATCTACTCATCTTTTAAATCCCACCAGGGATGGTGACTCAACCACTGCCCTGGGCAACCCCTCCGAATGCCTCAGAACCCTTTCAGCAAAGAAATTCTTCCTCACATCCCATCTCAACTGCCCTGGGCACAACTTGAGCCCATTTCCTCTTGTCCTATCTCTTGGTCCTTGGTTGAACAGACCCACCCCCACCTCTCTCCACCTTCCTTGCAGGCACTTGGACAGAGCCAGAAGGTCTCCCTTCAGCCTCCTTTTCTCCAGGCTCAACAACCCCAGTTCCCTCAGCCAGGAACTCAGCACACTTGTGCTCCAGACCCTTCCCCAGCTCTGTTGCCCTTCTCTGGACACGCTCCAGCACCTCCATGTCCTTCTTGGAGTGAGGAGCCCAAAACTGGACACAGTATTCAAGGTGGAGCCTCACCAATGCTGAGTACAGGGGAAGGATGACTTCCCTGGTCCTGCTGGCCATGCTGTTTCTGATCCAGGCCAGGATGCCATTGGCCTTGGCCACCTGGGCACACTGTTGGCTCATATTCAGCCACTGTTGACCAACACCCCCAGGTCCTTTCCCACCAGGCAGCTCTCCCCCCACTCTGCCCCAAGCCTGGAGCATTGTGTGGGGTTACTGTGACCCGAGTGCAGGACCCAGCACTTGACCTTGTTGAACCTCATACAGTTGGTTGCCGCCCATTGATCCAACCTGTCCAAATCCCTCTGTGGAGCCTTCCTACCCTCCAGCAGATCATCACTTCCAAGCAGCTTGGTGTCATCTGCATCACCACTCTGAAATCAGACTCGAGTGTGTATTTATCTGTCACCTTTGCAGCTGGTGAGGCTGCTGTGGATCAGAGCATCACAGTTCAGATGTTTGGGATTCTCTGGGCCGTGGGTAGGTGTGTGCCGTATTCATTGCGTATGTCATCTTAATTGCTGGAGAGAAACAAAACCACAGGCTTTATGCAACTCTCCAACACTATGGGAGTTTTGTATAATTGCCTCAGACTGAGTGGAAATTATCTGCAAGCCAAAAATCTTTCACTGAAGCAATTAGCAAATCATTTTAAATAACAAATACAATTGGAATCTCACGATCCGTTTGTGGCTGGAGCTGAGGGTAAGGGTGAGTTCACTGAATGGATCTTTTGTTTTCTATCACTTTTTTAGGTTTAACCAATATGCTCTGAGAGCAAGTGCTCTTCTCTCGGTGCAGTGACAGTCATTAAGTGTGTTTTAAAGTCAGGGAAAATAGAGTAGAGAGGGTTTCTAGGTTGCTGCTCGCTGCCACCCCACTAGTGCTTTTATTTATCTCTCCTTTAAGAGATCAGGTAACTGAGACCAGGTCACTCTTCGGTCTGGGCTTCGTCATGGGTGTTGCCACAGGACAAAGGGTTCCCATTTATCCTGAGCTGCTTTCCTCAGGGATGAGGTCTAGACCAGCCCCTTAGTGCTGCTGTCAGAGCGGTGCGGGGGCTGCGCTGGGAGCAGAGTTCCCCCCAGGTGTGCAGTGTCCCAGTGGCACGATAACGTGACTTTCTGATGCTGTGAGCTGATGTGGTTAATTGCATTTGCATTCACTTCCAATCCTTTTCTTCTCTTTTTTTTCTTTCTTTCCATCTCACTTTTCCTTCTCTAAGATCAGACTTTCCTCATTTACCCCCCACACTGTTTTCTCCCTCACGTCCTTCTCCTCCATCCTTTGTTTCCCCTCTGCCCGTCTCTCCCTTTCACTCATCCCCACCTTCTCCTTCACAGGGGCGATGCCACCGAGAGCCTGTGGTTCCATTTAGCCCATGGTGACCCCACTGCACTGGCCCAGCTCACTGCAAACACACCATCATCACCCTCGCTGCTTTGGGGAGAGCACGGAGCGGCCGAGGATGCCTGCGGAGGGACCGAGGACTCCTGTCTCTACATAAGCAGTGGCCGAGGGAGAGACATGTTGGGACAGCGCCCTTTCAGCTGGCACAATGCTCCCTGCACTGAGACAAAGATCACTAACCATGGCAATAGCTTGGAGGCTTCTCACGTGGACTGTCATCTTCACCGCGACCGTGCGCAGCTTTCCCGGTTACGCATTCCAGTCACAAGGTAGGAATCGCCGTGGGGATGGGAGCTGCATCCACCCACCTCTGCTGGCAGGAACCCTAATGCTGGCCCCCGGGGGAGGTATTGAGGGTAATGTTGTGCTGGGGAGTAGGTGGAGACACCCCAAACTCTGCTCTGCTCACTACTGCAGGAGAATTCTTTCTCTTTTCGGTGGTGCCCAGTGACAGGACAAGGGGCAATGGGCACAAACTGGGACACCAGAAGTTCCAGACAAACTTCAGGAAAAACTTCTTCCCTGTGAGGGTGCTGGAGCCCTGGGACAGGCTGCCCAGAGAGGGTGTGGAGTCTCCATCTCTGGAGATGTTCAAACCCACCTGGACACTTTCCTGTGCA